TGTGTTGCCGAGTAATGCCACTGTCCCTTTCTTCTTCAGGTAGAGGAGAGGGACCTGTGGATTCCATTTCTGTCCCTAGAAAGTGAGGCTGGTGAGCTTTGGTCTCTCTGGCGCCCAGCCTTGGACCGTTCTGGGCACATAGGACGGCTCTCCTGAAATATTTGTTGGGGGTTAAATAAATGAATGAATCTGAGCAGATTCAAAATCAGCTGGGCCCAGCGGGTAGTTCAGCAGGAACTAGGAAATGCCTTGGGGACCTCACCCACATCTGGATGTTCATGTTTGACAAAGATAGAAGAAGCGTGGGGCAGAGCACAGTCGGTCTCTGTATCTGCAGTTTCTGCAACCAGAGATCCGACCGAATGCAGATGGAAAACATGATTTTGCTGTTCTGCACAGGCCCAGACTTATTTCTTGTCCCTTTTCTCTGAATACAGTATAAAAACTGTCTCTAGAGCATTGACATTGCGTGAAGTATCAGAGCAAGGCAGCGATGATTTAAAGTATTTGAGAGGTTGTGTGCAGGTTCTCTGCCAATACGGCACCATCTTCTAGAAGGGGTTGGAGCATCTGTGGACTTGGGTGTCTGTGGGGTGGGGGCCGGGTCCTGCAACCAACTCTGTCCCCCATCAAGGATGCTCAAGACCCCCTTGGTCCTGTCTTTGGAGAGGGGCTCCTCACGCCGGGTTCTGTGCTCTTTTGCAGGTGGCTACCCGGTGACCCGATGCTTGACAAATGGAGGCCCATGGGTTTCTGACCCCAGAGGGTGGACCCTAGGAGCCTGGCCCCTGGCTGGGAGATAAGGCCAGAATCCAAGGCCTCCGTGAAGTCACCGGCTCCCACAGGCCTGAGGAGCGGAACCTCTGCGGAACTGCCACTTTCAGAGCCACTGGGGGGAGTTCCGAGGTGAAGAACAAGATGTAGGGAGATGGGACCACCTCCCGCGGGTCCCCTTGCTTGGCCACAAGAAGCCCACCTTGACCTTGGGCCGCCTCTCCCTTGGCCTAACCAAGAGCTGGACTTGCCCTGGGCCTCAGGCCTGGGCTACCCCCTTTGCAGGGGGAGGAAGACGGAGGACCCCCCAGGGTCCCGTCCCTAGGGGAAGCCCGGAGAGCCACGTCCCCTGTGGCCTCCCCAGCCGCCCAGCAGCCAGTCTGTCCGGAATGCCCGCGCCATGGCCAAGCTCTGGGTCAAGGTGCAGCGCTCCTGCCGCAGGAAGCCCCTGCGCTTCCTCTCGCTCCTGGCCCTGTACCTGGCGGCCGGGAGCCTGGTCTTCCTGCACTCGGGCTTCGGGGGCCAGCCCGCCRCCTCCCAGGGCCAGGCCAGCCCCGCCGCAGGCGGCGTCCAGGGCCACGAGCTGCCCTTCCTGGGCGACCTGCACCTGGGCAGGGGCTTCCGCGACGGCGAAGCGTCCAGCATCGCGCGCAGGTACGGACCCTCGTTCAAGGGCAAGGACAGCAATGAGAGAGCCAAGCTGGGMGACTACGGGGGAGCCTGGAGCCGGGCCCTCAAGGGCAGAGTCCTCCGCGAGAAGGAGGAGGAGCGAGGTAAGAGCCCCGCGGAACGGGCAGGAGACAGAGGGTGACAGCACCCTAGCGCCAGCGTCCTTTAGGAAGCAGGTGTCCTAAGCTTGTAGTGACATGGTGGAGATTTCACTCTCGCCCCCACTCCACAGAGGGAAAAAAAACCCTGAAGCTCAGAGAGGTTAAGCAGCCTGGGCATGTTTGCACAGCTTGTCGAGTTTGCATTGGAACCCCGCCCTCAATCAGAGCTCCAAGTCCACCCCATCTCTGCAGCCAGTCTCCATCTTCAGACAAACACCAGACAGCGCCCCAGCATTTTAGGCCCCATATTTCAAGCCCCGGCTCCATGGTAGGCACTTGACATGTTTGAATTATTCCCACAAATCTGTACTTGGCTGCCACAGTTCCTGTGGTAAAGATGAGGAAACAGAGGTTCTGAGAGTCTGTGTTCAACTGACYGCTAAGTGCCGGGGCTTCACCTCCACCAAACTGCCCCTGTGGTCCATCATCCTGGATCCTTGGGGATGGGTCCTCAGGGACATCACTGCCCTGGGCATGTTTTGCTGCATTTCTCAGCTGTCGCAGGCAAAGGGGGTTTACTCTGATTTTCACTGAATTCCATGGGGTTGAATAGGACACTTGCAATCCTGTGCCCAGTTAACMGATGTGAAAACTGAGGCTCAAAGGAGCAGAGACACTGGCTCTGGGCAGCAGTAGCCCTGGGTTTTAAATCAGATCTCCCTGGCCTGGACGCTTGGCTCTCTGTGTCACACCCCAAGTCCACTGGCGCCTGACGGGCATGCTGGGGAGAGACCCAGCAACCCTGGCCATCCAGGAGATTAACACAGACGAGGTTCCCAGAACTCAGGCTGGATGGTCGGGGGCATAAATGAAGGGGAGGGAAAACCAGCCCTGGCTTCCACTGAGAGTCAGCTCACAGAAAGCCCTTTCTCCCACCAAGGCCCAGGCCAACGGCTTCTCTTCCCTGTGCCTCGGATTTGAAATCTGTAAAATGGAGATAAAGATCCCTTCCCCCCAGGCGGTCTGAGAGTTCAGTGAGATGCCACCCGGGAAGCACTTGGCACCCCCAGGTCTGGCACCGAGTGGTTAGAGATGTTCAGGGGGTGCTCCTGGGGTCTGGCTGGGGGGAGCCCTCTCACAGGTGAGGCAGGAGGAGTTGTGACTGTCCCTCCATATCTGTGGGTCCACACCTTCAGATACTGAAGGATTGCTGTACGCTGCTGCTGCTGTTACTACTAATTAGCCTTTCTTGAGCAACTACTACATGCCATTAAGTTGTATTTGCTCTTCATAGTTTAGTGACTTGTGTAAATGCTTATCCCATCTTCTGGCTCATGAACACAGGTCCCTGAATCGTTGCTGTCATTCTTAGTAGCAGCTGGTCTCTACTRGACGCAGTGATGCAGGGCTTGAGCTGTAGGCAATGGAGACCCTGCCGCAAGCGGAGGCAGAGGAGGGGTGCTGTACCACCGAGCTGTATTCCCAGCCCTACTTACTTATTTATTTGGGGGGCAGGGTCTCACCAAGGTCTCACTAAGTTGTTCAGGGCCTTGTTCAATTGCTGAGGCTGGCCTCAAACTTGTGATCCTCCTGCTTCAGCCTCCCAAGCTTCTGGGATTATAGCTRTGCACCACTGTGCCCAGGTTTTGTTGTTTTGTTTTTGTTTGGGTATCAGTTACTGAACCCAGGAGCACTGAACCACTGAGCCACATCCCCAGCCCTTTTTATTTATTTATTTTTATTTTGAAACAGGGTTTGTATTTACAGACAGGGTCTTGCTGAGTTGCCTAGGACCTTGATAAGTTGCTGAGGCTGGCTTTGAACTCACAATCCTTCTGCCTYAGCCTCCYGAATTACTGAGATCCACAGGCGTGTGCCACGCACGTCACCTGGCCCCACATGGCCATCTTCTTGTAAGGGCCTTAGTCATATTGGTTTGGGGCTCACTGTCCTCCAGTTTGGCCTCGGGACTCAGTTACATGTGCCGGGATCCTATTTCCAACAAGGCAGCATTCTGAGAATCTGGGGATTAAGACTCCGATATATCTTCTTTGGGGGTGAGGGGGACCCAATTCAATCCATAACAGTAGAATTCTTATTTTCACTTTTTCTGGGAGAAAAATCATACTTCCAAGAGCCCGAGTGGCATTCAGAGCTTCCTGCAGCTCTGTCCCGGGGATTGAAGCCAGACCTGCCTGACTGCAGGACAGGGAGACGCCGCCTGGTGCAAATCCACTTACCAGGGACTGGTGGGGGRTGCAGGTCAGTGTGTGTTCGTCTCCCGGGGACAGAAGGCCCTGCTCACAGACAGCAAAGCCTTATTTTATTAAAGATGAGCTGGAGCCACAGAACAAAGTTAAGAAAGAAGGATCAGATGCCCCTCACGGGAGGGTTCCTGACGCTGGTCTCTGGAAGCCTGGCCACTCCAGCAGCCTGTCACCATGGAGACGAGCTGACAGCTGGAAACTTGGCCATAGAATCCACCCTCCAGTGGCCTGGGATTTGGGGAGGGGGCCCCAGAAGAGAGCTGAAGGGGTCAGCAGAGGCCGTAAAACCCCCAGGACAGGGGCAGTGGTAGGGGGGTGGCGGCCTCCACCAGACACCAGGGGGGAAGGCGTCCCCAGATCTGTCCCAGGACCCGTAGGAAATGGCCTCAGTATCCACACCCAGCCCCGGGCTCTKCTGACTCATCAGGCCCTGGTACCCAGCACACAGGACCCTGAGTCTGTCTGTCCCTCCCCCTGTCCACAGATAAGGAGATGGAGGTCAGTCAAGTCCCTGTTCTGAGGGACACTTCAGCCTAGTGGAGGGGAAGGTGAGGGTGGCCCCGCACTCCAAAGTCCAGGCTGTGGGGACAGTGGCTGCATGAATCCAGCCTGGGTTTCCTCCGAGGGACCCAGCCTCTCCCGACCCCTCCAGAGTCATCCGAGGAGTCTGCAGGTAGCGCCCCTGTCACTGCGGTCCCTGGGAAGGGGACGGGCTGGGCTCGGGGGATCTGAGACCATCACTGCCGGGTCAGCGCTGCCAGTTGGGTGACAGTGCGTGTTGGTCAYGCCCCGCCGGTGGCAAAGGACAAAAGTCCCCCAGAACCAGCTTCAATAAAGAGGAAAATGCACGGGGCCATGTCACCAGGCTGCAGAAGGGCTCCCTGGACGCGATTTTTGTCAACTCACCACGGTTGGAGGAGCTGCTGCTCTCTGTCCACCCCGTCTTGGCTGCTTGTCCTACGCAGCTGCTGCTGGCCTGGGGACTGGCTGTTGGTAGTGCTGGACTTGCACGAGGCCAGCATCCCYGAGAGGCTTCACCCAGTAGGAATCCAGCGAGCACCTCGTGAGCCCTTCCCTGGACCAACACTGTGGCTGCAGGGTGGGCACTCTGAGAGGCCCTGTCCAGGTCAAGGTCTGAAAACCAGGGAGAGGGGCGTTCTGCAGGCCCAGAGCGCCCACCTCGATCCACCCTCCATGCCACTGTGGAGGTCCGGATGCACCCGCCCTGACACACTTTTACTTCTATGATTAGACAATACCATCCTATCCACGTGATCGCTGTCCCCCGGWAGCCAAATGCACCTGCCCGCAGCCTAAGCTGACAGCCCCCAAAGTCATGTTGCAGCTGGTGCCAGGCCCAGCCTTGGGCCTGGAACTTGGGCAGATTACGTGGCCTCCCTGGTTCATTTAGAAAAGAGGGGGACAGAGGGAATGTCAGTAGCTGCCCATCGGAGCGCACGCCCAGTGCCCAAAGTTGAGATCCGCTTGTGAGGCCAACAGACGGAAGAGGCACGGCGGTCAGTTTGCTCATCTGTGAAATGGGTTCGTGAGAGCGCAGATTGAAAGGGACGGGGTGTGGCTCCATCCACGTGGCCCAGCATGGCCCATAAAGTGACGCATGCGCATCTGGTGATGAAGCCCCTCTCCCCTGTCTCTCCCTCCCTCTCTCTGCTTTCTCCTCTCTCCCCGCCAGCTTTTTGTCCTCCTGCCTACCCCACTGTGCACCCTGGACACTCATCCTCTAGCGAACCACTGGACACGCCCACCCAGTGCCCCCGCCCAGCTGGGGGCGTGGCATCCCTGCTGGAGTCCAGGGGCTGCGGTCCCAGCCAGGAGGGAGGGCCACAGGTGGCTGAGCCAGCACAAAGGCAGGGGGCGGGGCCCCCAGAGCGGCCACTGTCTGGTGTCCCTGCTTCCTCTAAAGGTGGACTGTTCTCGGCCCAGCAGATCAGCAGATCGCCTCCGTCTCCTGAAAGAAATCCCAGGGGATGGCGGCGCGTCTCCTGCGGCGCTGGGAAATGCTGCTCTTGGCAGGGGAGCAGCGAGGGGCCTGACAGGCCAYTGTGACAGGCGGGCGTCCTCCAATAGACCTGCTCCTCATGACAAGGCTGGGCGGGGGCGCACGGTATAGACTGGACAGCATTCTCGGCAGGGAAAGGGGTCAAGGGGTCCCTCCGTCTTTCCCACTGGCTGGATCCRCGGTCCCGCCTCTGGGTGTGTCTGAGCGCAGCGGTGGGGAGAGCTGGTGTGGGTGCCCCGGACCTGACTGAGGAGGCTTTGTTCAGCCACAATCAGCTGCAGATCCAGGCAGGACACCTTTCTGGGCCACTGAGCGTGAGGACCACGGTGCTTCCCGCTACCCATGGGGCATTGAAAAGACCCCCTGGTTCAAGAAGCAAGAAGTTCAGAAYGTGGGCTCTGAAGCCAGACTGCTTGGGTCCAATTCCGGCTTCCTATGTACAAGCTGTGTTACCTTGGGCAAAGACTTACCCTCTCTGGGCTTTGGTTTCCTGTTCTGTATAGAAGGGGAATAATATTCTCATGGGATTATTATAAAGATCCAATGGAGACAATGTGCATGAACCACTTACCAAAGTGCATATCCAAATAATAATAATAACAGTAATTTTAAAGAAATAATGGGGCTGGGTGCGGTGGTGCCGCCTCTAATCCCAGCAGCTCAAGAGGCTGAGGCAGGAGGATCGTGAGTTCTAGGCCAGCCTCAGCAACCTAGTAAACCCTAAGCAACTTAGCAGGATGCTGTCTCTAAATAAAATATAAAAAAGAGTTTGGGATATGGCTCAGTGGTTAAGAGCCCCTGGATTAAAAAAAAAAAAWTTWAAAAAAAGGAAAAAAGTTTATATAAACTGTAAAGTCCTGCCCTTTGTGCATGAGAGTTCACTGTTTACCATGAAGTACAGGAAAGTGTTTATTACTTTAAGAAAACTAAGTGCATGGTTTATAGCTAGATGGTTATTTTATATAGTTTGGAATTGTCCTTTGGATGGGAGAATTCACCTTGACCCACCAAGGACAAACTGTAAAGTTCCTTACACAACACTGTGAATGGCCCGTTACTGAACCCATTTACCTGAACGTTGCGCCCCTGACGTGCAGGACCGTGGGAGAGACAATGCCCACACCATTCCGTCTAGACCTCCCTGGGCTGTTAGTTTCATGCCCAGGGCCCGTAGAAATCCTTTACCCATAGAGCTGCTTAGTATGGGCCTCATCCAGGGTGGCTCGGGGATGGCCTTGGCTTGGATTTCTGGGTGCCCCGATGTCACCAGGGAACCCAGGGGCTCGGCTGCAGCTCCCTGCTGTCCCCTGCTGGCCTCCAGGACCGCGGCCCCTCCTGGACCAGGTTCCACCGAGGCCCAGGAGGAAGGAATCGGTCCCCAACGCCCAGCCAGGCCACCGGGCCAGCCAGCCTGAGGCTCCTCCTGTCCCCCACGTCTGACTTCTCTCCTTTCCCCCGAAGCCAGGTACATCGGCTGCTACCTGGACGACACCCAGAGCCGCGCCCTGAGGGGCGTGTCCTTCTTCGACTACAAAAAGATGACCSTCTTCCGTTGCCAGGACAACTGCGCCGAACGGTAGGTCCCCTCGTCCCCAGATCCACCTGTTGGGGTCCCTCCCTTCTCGCTCCTGCTGTGCCAGAGTGGGGGGGGGGGGGTGAGCACCGAGGGCGGCTTGCAGGCGAGCGTGTGCGCATGCGTGTGCCAGCAGACTGTCCCGAGCTGGCCGCGGGGTGCGGATGTGAGCTCAGGAGCCAGTGCCTGGTGTGCAGAGTGGGGTTGGCTGGCGACACTGGGGAGCGCAGTGGCGGMGCCTGATGATCTTCTAGTAGAGGTTGCGGGCTGGAGCCGCGCACCGTGGCCAGGTAGCCGATGGCACTGCCCACACGCGGCACTGAGGTGACGGCATACAGGTGTGAGGACTTGCAACTGGTGGGCGTGTGCGCATGCACACTGTACACACGGAGCTCGTGAGAARGGGGAGGCGAGGGCTTGGGAATGGGGGTACCTGGCCTCTCTCCCAGGGAGAAACACTCAGCTCTTCAGGCAGGATCCCCAACCCAGGAACAAGGGGATAGAATGAGTTTGATTAGAGTGGGCACCGAGGGGGCCAGGAGCAGTGGCCCAYGACTCTTATCCCAGYCACTAGGGAGGCTGTAGCAGRAGGATCGCCAGTTGGAGGCCAGCCTCAACAATTTAGCAAGATACTGTCTCAAAATAATAAAATCAAGAGGGTTGTGGATGTGGCTCYGAGGTAAAGTGCCCCTGGTTCAATCCTCCCACAAAAAAGAATGTGCTTTGTGGGGGAGAGAGAGTTGACTTGGGGGGGTACCAGGGGTTGAACTCAGGGGCACTCGACCACTGAGCCCCATCCCCAGCCCTATTTTGTATTTTATTTAGAGACAGGGTTTCCCTAGTTGCTTAGTGCCTCGCTGTTGCTGAGGCTGGCTTGGAACTCACCATCCTCCTGCCTCAGCCTCCTGAGCCACTGGGGTGACAGGCGTGCACCACTTTATCTTTTTAAGAGCAGATGAGTTCACGTAGGACCCGTGAACAGGGCCAGGACCCTTGGGGTGCCATGGGCTTGATCTTTTCCCCTGTCTCCTGGGAGCCTTAGCCTTAGTTGGCACACAAGGTGACCTGGAATCCACTCACTGCCATACTTCATCCAGCTGACTGATGGTCACAAGCTCTGCTGGCCACATGCTAATGCAGAAATGGGCTAGTGGGTGGCCAGGGAGGGACCCTCCCTTCAGTCCCTGAGTAGGACACACTGTCCCCTTTATAATGAGCTGCCTGAGAAGCAGAACATTAAATTCACAAGCTCGGGACCCTGTCCAGCTTGGAAAGGGCCACGGGATCAAGGATGTGGATTTGCTAATTTATTTGCCAAACCATGGGGAGATGGGGGTGGGTTCCCCGGAGCCCCTGCCCCCGGGAGCTCCCAGCCTAGACTGGGTATAGACGAGTACACGTGGCAACCTGTGAGCTAGGGTTGCAACGTGTCACCGCGGGAGCTGGATAGCAGAGAGGTCCTGCCACCCAGAGGTCCGGAAAGGCCGCTCAGGGGTGATAGCCAAGGAGCCCTGGGGCCGCTGTGGGAATTTGGCTCAGCTCAGGGACCATCTGCTGGCTGTGCACACTGGCTGGGGATCGGGGTCCAGGCAACTGCAGCCCTGCCCACGGGGCGCCCCCATCTCACTGGGGAAGCCGAGGCACCAACAGGTTAGCTATGGAGCAACAGCGTGTCCACCCAGGAAGCACTCGCTCCTGCCGAGCACTGTCCCAATGCAYTTCGCAGTTCCTAACTCTTCAATGGTACACGATTCCCGTGAGGCAAGGGGGCCAGGAACCACATTCTACAGATGGGCAATCTGGGGTGTAGACACACGGAGCATGATGGGTGCTGTACAGCGGAGATCTGAAGGCAGAAGGGGTGGGGGGCTCCACATGGGGGACTGGGGACAGATTACAAAGGTAAGACCCTGAGTGGGGTTTTGAAGGATGAATAGGAGTTTCCTTGGTACTCCCAGTAGAGTATGCGGAAGAAACATCAGAGCCTGAACTAGGGAGCAGAGAGAGAGGGAAGGTCCAGGCTTGCTCCTTTTAAACTCACAGAACTACTGAGGGTCCCATGAGAACTACCTTAATCCCTTCCATGGGCACACCCCCAATGACCCAAGACCTCTCACCAGGCCCCACACCTTAAGCYTCCACCACCTCCCAATAGCCCACCCTGGAAAACCAGGCCTTTGACACAWGGACCCTTGGGAGACACTCAAACCATATCCAAACCCAGAACACCTTGGAAGGTACTGCCATCTGGGTTCGTCAGCTTGCCGTCACTGWGACAAAATACCTGAGACAATTAGCTTATAAAGAGAAAAGGTTTATTTGGGCTCCCAGTTTTTGGAGTTTCCAGACCATGACTAATGGGCCTCGTTGCTTTGGGCCTGTGGGGAGCAACACACCATGTGGAGCACATGAAGAAGCAAAGCCACTCACCTCTTGGTCAGGAAAGGAGAGGAAGAGGAAGGCGCTGGGCCTCACGGTTCTCTTCAGGGCATGTTCCCAGTGACCTAAGGACTTCTGGCTAGGCTCCACCCCTGCAAGATTCTACCACCTCCGAGCAGCACCACCCTGGGGACCAAACCTTCAACACTCTGGAGGACACTTGGGATCCAATTCATAGCACCGTCTCCACTGTCACGTTCTGTTCATTGGGAGTCACCAAGGGAGTCCCAGCTCCAGGGGAGGAGGACTAAGCTCCATCTTTAAAAGAAAGGAGTGGCTCAGAATTTGTGGRTACAGTTCCGAACCTCCACCCTCCTGACCCAGGACACTCCCTGGCACGTTTCTTTCCAGAGCGGCTGGACCCTCTCCTGGGTGGGTCTCCCTGACCCACTGGGGCCTCCATCCTTCGGACCTCTGAGGGGTGAGGTCCCTCTTGCTTTGGATTTGGCAACACTGCTGGGCCCTGTCTTGGAAAAGGCTGCTTCTATCAGTGGGTGCCATCATAAAAAAGAGGACCCAGGACACCTGAGAACCAGGCCCTGAGAGACAGGGAGCTGAGGCAGGCAGAGGAGGGAGGCTGGCGCAGCCCCAGGATTGTGCTGGGTGTCAGATCCCAAGATGCTCAGCTCACCTAAGATGCTCTGGCCCCTCCTGCCCAGGTGAGCAGATGGCTGTGGCAATGCCACCTTCTACCCCAAGTTGCTGGGGCATGTGGGGGCCACCAGCCTGGGTGGGCATGTCTCTCCATCCAGGACCACACCAGCCATATGTGAGCACACRGTCCCTGCAGGCTCCTCGGGTGCCCAGTACTTTGCAGGCTGCTCTGGAGGCCACCATATCTCAGAGGCCAGCGTGGATGAAGGGGCCGAGCAGGGCCTGTCTTCCTCCCCTCCCCAGCCCCCCAGGCCTGGGACCCGAGCCAGCAGGGACCTTCATTTGTTCCTAGACTGTGGAGCCCCTGAGCATCCTTTTTAGGAAAGGATTTCATGCTTATGAAAAAAAAAAAATAAAAATCGAAGCATGCCTGGATTGTTCTGTTTTAGGGGAAGGAATTTCTCCCTTGGCTGGGTCTGGGGCTAGTTTTGCCATCTTCCAAAGGAAAGGAGAGTCTCTGCTCCTCCCCTGGCCCCAGCTCCTCTAGAGACACAGCCACATCATTCCTGAGTGACATTTCCTGGAATAAAGAGGCGGGGCTCTGGGGAACTGAATGTCTCCGGTCCTCAGACAGGGAGGACCAGGGGAGGGCACCAGGGTCTGGGCGAACGTGTGATTGTACCCTGTAGTGGGGGCTATGCAGGGGTGACGGTGGGCGTGGCGGAGAGGGCAGGTGGGTGGTCCCTGGGGTGCTCCAGTTCCCTTCCTGGGTTTCTCTGACCTCAGGGCCTCTTTTCTTTCTTCCTGGCTCTGGAACTCCCCAGCCTCCCTGACTCCTCTTAGGAGTTTCCTGGAGTCTCCCTCTCCAGGATCCCCAGGGTCTCCTGATGGCCTTGGGATGCCTCTGTGTCCTGAGGGCCCTTGTCCACCGGGTATCCGCGCTGGCGGGGTCTGTTGTCGCGGGGTCTCCCTGTGGCAGCCTCCCCCACCTGACAGCGGCCTCCCCTAGGGGTTACCTGTACGCCGGGCTGGAGTTCGGCGCTGAGTGCTACTGTGGCCACAAGATTCAGGCGGCCAACGTGAGCGAGGCGGAGTGCGACATGGAGTGCAAGGGCGAGCGGGGCAGCGTGTGCGGTGGCTCCAACCGCCTCTCGGTCTACCGGCTGCAGCTGGCGCAGGAGTCGGCCCGCAGGTGTACGTGAGTCGGCCCCGCCCAATCTGCGGCTCCTTCCTTGGCCACACCCCTGTGCCCTGCCCAATCTGTGCCTTCTCCCTTGGCCACACCCAGGCCCCGCCCCATCTGAGGCTCCTCCCTTGGCCATACCCCTAGGCCCGCCCCATCTGCGACTCCTCCCTTGGCCACACCCCTGGGCCCACCCCATCTGAGGCTCCTCCCCTGGCCACACCCGGGCCCCGCCCCATCTGAGGCTCCTCCCTTG